TTTCAATCAAAAACAAATTAAATGATGGGGTTGAGTTTTGAAATTTACATTTATGTATATGGAATTTCCCTAATAAGAGTGAACTGTCATCACTTATATATGTGCGAATGTTTAATAATTAAAGTCAGTCATATATCCACAAACACAACAAGCTGAAAGTCAGTGATATATGTATATGTGTGTGTATATATATATATATATATATATGTGTGTGTATATATATGTGTGTGTATATATATATATGTATATGTATATATGTGTATATGTATATATATATGTATACATGTATCATAATAATCTGACAATACTATAATATTGACCATATTATATTTACATTGCCACAGTGAGATGACTTTAGTCTCATGAACAACATTAACTAATTGTTATTTACTAACTAATCTTACATGACTGTTCAGCACAGAAATGAAGCCCAAGAATCATGTTTTACAGTCCTGTGGTCTCAGCCTCAGATACTCAACTAATCAAAGTGATGTCATGACAAAAATGAATGACTAACAGAACATTTTTCTCCTTCATTTCTGTCAAACAAAGCTGTATGTAACTTGTCTCGCGGTCAGTATCATGATTGCTAGGCAACCTGAACAGCGCGACAAAGCGTATACCGTCCCATTTCACAAGCCTCTCACTTCCGCACTTCTCGTACTTATAGTACGCACCGTACGTAGTACGCGTAGTGCGCGTACTTCAAGCGTGCAGACCCTGAATTGGGACACAGCTACTATACACACAAAAGGAAATCAGGACAGAGAGGTAACACCTGGAGAACACGGCTGAATGTGATCTAAATGACGAGGCAGCAGATGCAAAACTGAACAAGAACCACACAAGACGAGACACTGTCAAAGTAAAGCAGGAAGTCACACATGATGAGAAACAAACTTAGACACACGAGCTTTACACGGGGACCGGAGAGAAACACATGAACAAGACAGACTAAACAAGAGACGTGGAACACAGGAGAGGTATGATAACAGTAACCAAAAGCCAAGATAACAAAACCAAGACCAGAAGAAAGTACAAATAAGGAGCATAGCAGAATATCATGACGATAAGAAACAAAACCTAGAACACAAAGTTAACAAAATAGTAACAAAATCCTGAATGACAAAAAATGCAAAAAATAGAACTATAATATACAGATAATGCACTAGAAAACTCCTAAACATTCGCAAAACTCAAAACCCTGCATCACAGACCCTGGACCATGACAGTAACTGTTTTTAATTGAAAATTTGAACATCATCTAAATTATTTTCACACTGTAAAATCTAATATTGTGTTTAACTAAAAATATCAAGTAGACTGAGTTTTTATCAACTTGTTTTTAGAACTCAGTTTAAGTAAGTTACTAGTACTTTTCATTCAAAAAGCTGATCAGCTCTGATCATTTGAGTTGTCTTAAATTAGAAAAACTAAGTAAGCTGGAAATTTTACTACTCAGTGCAGAAGGATAAAACTATATGGTTTGAAATGCCACGTCACTACCTCCCTCCTGCCTCACACAGATCAGTCCACATGTTTATGGCACTCAGGTTTTTTTCTGGAATATGTTGAGCAAAGCTGGAGAAGCTTCAGCTCAGGAGATTATATGACATACAGACAACAGCCTGCACACCAACTTTATAAACAAAGTATTATGTTGGTTGTCTTTTCTTCTGCCTCTCTGCTTTCACTTAAAATCAGCTGACTACCTGAAATGAATGTTGATAATTTAAGACCACATTTATTTGTCATGATTTTACATCTTAATATTTTCTGGTGGGTTAAATTATCTATAATTTTTTTTCACAAATCCAGACTTTTTTTGTGTCACACGGTGTATCATTCCAGGAGTTTTCTCTTTCATAGAAATAGATTTCTCCACAATCTTCATCATTTCCTCCATAACTGTTAGGCTCGTCGGTGTCCCAGAAGCTGAACACAAAAAATACGAAAAAAGACTAACCATTTTATACTGACACTGAAGTCATGGTATACTGATCTAACAAACAAAACTTTACACCTACACTTTATCTTAAAATGCAAGTTACCAATAATAATTTATTAAAGAGTCATGCAACAAACATAAAGTGTGAAACCTGATGGTAGGTGTAGTCCCATCCACCCATTTCCATGTCTGTTCTTTTTCGGTGTCAGTCAGTCCAATCCATGTCCGTTTTTTAAACTCTCTTATGAAGTTCTTATTCACAGAAAAAGAAATAAACAATAACATTAAATACATCTGAGTTTTACACTTTTGTCTTTGTGTCTCAGAAACAGATTTTGCTCCTATATACTGTACCTGTTCCTCTCTGCTGTTGATAATCACCAGGTCTGCCCCTCTCTGCAGACAGTCCTCTCTGCTGTCATTCCAGGTGTTTTCAGTAGATGAAACGTAATATAAACTGTGTTTGAAGTATATCCATCCTCGTTGGATATAGCGAGCTGCAAAGGACAGTAAAACTGAACCTTCAAAATTATGCTCAAGAAAATAACAAACAGCAATGTTAATAATGATAATACTGTTTAGCGTTACACTCACCTAATTCATTCATTTTAATGTCTTCTTCTTTAGTCAAGTTTTTAATAATGGCCTCACAATCTGGTGTTGTTGTTGTATCAGAACTGTCTGTAAGAGCAAACATTTCCTTAAGTAACTACACCACCAGAGTGCCACATGAATGAACCTGATTCAAGTTAAATTCATTGCAATTCTTCAAACTGTAACGGTAATTCTCTGTCATTCTGTTCTTATATTATTCAGATGGTGAATTTATGGTCACATTACAAAGAAAATGTAAATTGACTCACAAAAAGCCAGTCGCAGTGAAATGTTGAGTGTAGCTTGAAGAATACACAGAAGTGCAAAGCTCAAAGCAACCAGTCTGCAGAGTTTTCTTTCTGTGTGCAGGAATCAAACAGATAAGAAAATTACATTTATTGTCATTATATAAGAATGTACAACGAAAATTATGCTGCACTGCCAGGATATGGACTCATGCATAATAATAATAATAATAATAATAATAATATAAACAACAACAGGAGAATAAAAAAATGCATGGAGGGGTAAATAAAGAGAAAGTAGAAATGATAAACATGTTACATAATAAATATTTTATACATAAAGAGGAAACAAATGGGTTTAGTGGTTTTCAGTTCAGTGTGGTTACATTTGTAGGGTAAGAACTGTTCAGGAATCGTTTGGTGTGACTTTTTATGCATCTGTATCTCTGACTAGATGTGTATTAGCAGACTGATAAAAGAGCATTAGCTAGTGTGCTAAACCATAAAGATTGCACAGAGCACAGGCTAAAAACATACATATAAAAATACAACTAATCCATTAGTCACAGTACAGAAACGAGCACTGCGTATTATTCACAAGGCTGGTTATCTAGATCATACTCACAAATTCTTTCTTCAGGCAAAGTTACTTAAATTCCAGGATCTGGTTAATTACAATACATCCATAATTTTGTATAAAGCTTTTACTAAACTTTTACCGGCAAATTTACAAACTAGATTTGAAATTCGAGAAAAGGTTTATAATGTGAGAGGCTTTGGAGAATTCAAATTACCCAGAACTCGAACAACCCGTAAAGGTTTTTGTGTGTCTGTATGTGGTGTGAAAATCTGGAACAGTCTGAGTTTACAATTGAAACAATGCAAAAATATTCATAGATTTAAATTTCTCTACAAACAGTTGGTCTGGTCACAGTATACTCAATGATGGTTTTTAGTGTGCTCTGTAATGTCTGTTCTCTTACCATTGCTGGTATGGATTCCAAAAAAAAAAAAAAAAGTGTGCGTATGTATGTACATATATGTACATGTGTGTGTAGATATATATGTATGTGTGTTTGTTACTTGTAGTTATTACTGCCTGTTACCTGTGGTAATGCAATTTATAATTTATATATTCTGTATTCAGTTATGAAGGCTCTAATTGTTGTTTGCGAGCTGCCGTTTAGATGCTTGTGTGTGCCCGGGGCTGTTGATGGGTCTGTATGCAATGATGGGCGTAGCTGCGGGAAGTTTATTGTTTTTTTTTGTTGATGAGTGGTGGGATTTAATAAGTTTTAGGGGTGGGATTTAATAAGTTTTCTTTGTCCCACTCCTTTTTCAGGCAATTTTTGTTTTTTGTTTTGTGCATTTTATGTTCAATATAGGTATTTGTTGTGCCTGAAAATGAACAAATAAATGAAATGAATGAAATGAAATGAAAAACAGCCTCTCAGAAATGTATATTTAAAGATGAAATGTTGACTGCATTCATTTCCTGGTTTGTCAGTAGCGGCTCCTGACAAGCAAGTCTAGGGGGGGTGGAGAGCACTAACAGCTGGATCTTGTAGGGAGGAGAACAGAGGACCGAAATATTGACTGCATTCATTTCCTGGTTTGTTGGTAGGGGCTGTCGAAAAGCGAGTGTACAGTACATCTGTTTGACCAACACCTGGACTGTATTTAACATTCGCCTGAGCATACCTGGTGCCCAATAATCCAGCCCTAACTATATGCTTTATCAAAAAGGAAGGTTTTAAGCCTAAGCTTAAAAGCAGAGATAGTGTCTGTCTCCTGAATCCAAACTGGAAGCTGGTTCCACTGAAGAGGGGCTGAAAACTGAAAGCTCTGCCTCCCATTCTGCTTTTAAATATTCTAGGAACAACAAGTAAGCCTGCAGTCTGAGAGTGAAGAGCTCTAATGGGTCATATGACACTATTTATTATTATTTGATTATAAAAAACCTTGTCGAGAATGATTTTGAATTAGATTCTGGATTAAACAGGGAGCCAATAAGGAGAAGGTAATATATAAGAAATATGCTCTCTTTCTAGCCACTGTCAGTACTCTTGCTGCAGCATTTAGGATTAACTTAAAGCTTTTCAGCGAGTAAGTATCTGGTTAGTATGGAAGAGGATTAGGGCCACCGGAAAAAAAGTGGGCAGAGTACAATAACCTCGGTTTTAGCTGAATTTAGAAAGCCCTGATACTGAGTTCTTTAAAAGAAGAAACTATTAAATAGTTCATAAATATTAAATACAATTATCAAATAATTTTAATAGTGTTAGTGGTTGAAAAAATAAACTTTGAATGCAGTTTACTCTCTAATCGTTTGGTTTTCTTAAAAACTAAAATCCTCCACCTGATTCCAACAATATCTACCAAGGTGGGGTTTTCAATGAAACTCATAATCAAAGCTAGAATAAATGGTAAATGGTCTGTATTTGTGTAGCGCTTTACTTGGTCCTAAGGACCCCAAAGCGCTTTACACTATACATAATCATCCACCCATTCACACACTGGTGATGGCAAGCTACAGTGTAGCCACAGCTGCCCTGGGGCGCACTGACAGAGGTGAGGCTGCTGGACACTGGCGCCACCGGGCCCTCTGACCACCACCAGTAGGCAACGGGTGAAGTGTCTTGCCCAAGGACACAACAACCGAGACTGTCGGAGCCGGGGCTCGAACCAGCAACCTTCCGATTACAAGACGAACGCCCAACTCTTGAGCCACGATCACCCCAATCAAACATATGACACTGACAGACAGCATGAAAATCTTCTAAATAAATTGAATTACTTACTTCTGGTTGAAGTATCAGCTCCATTTTCACAATCCATGTCAGATTTGTATTTAAGAACAGACTTATTTTGCTGTGGTGTGGCAAAGGCATGTAATAAGAAAATGCAGAGCTAATTTATAACCTCCTTATCTTTCTTTCTTCCGTTTTTGATAGCATCTGCAGTTTTAAGCACACAGCTTCCTTCTTTGCTGTAGTTCTATCTTAAGTTATGGTTTGTTAGTTGAGACAGTTTTTGTCATGGTCCCTGGTTCCTCTATGCAAGAGGTTTCAAACTCATTTTATCTTAGGGGCCACATTGAGGAAAATATATTCCCAAGTTTAAACTTTACAAGATTATATCATGGGCTGGATAAAACCTTTTTAAAAACATAACCCCCCCCAGTTTGGATCAGGCCTGCAAATGCACCACTGCAAAGTGGTAAGTCAGAGCAGTCAGACATTATAATTGAAAACTATTGGCATTTTGTGGCCGCATGAGACAGCTGTAACTGTTGCAATCTGCTGTGTGGCAAGCAGGTTAGGACCCAAACGCAGGACTCCAAAAGCACAAAGTTAAGTGAGACCTGAGTCTGGGAACCTCCCTTGGTAGGTGGAGCTGGTTTTTTGTCCCTTTCATAAGCTCAGATGTAGGCAATTAGGTTTTCTCTGGAGCAAACCTCAAGCTGTGAGTGCTTGGTCCAAGCCAGGCGAGTTGGCACTTTTAACTTCTTTTATGAAAGCTTGCTGCGGGCCCCCTAGCCTTCTGTTAGAACGGTAGGTCATAGAAAATGTACTTGAGGTCTGGCTGTTTGGCAGAGATTTAAAGTTATTTGCACGCTTGTAGGTGGGAAACATTGCCTTACTGCGGCAGAGAAACATGTAGTGGACTCCACCGTCACTGACCAATATTTATTAGGGTGTGATGCCAACTTGTGGACAGGTAACTAAACAATACAGTTGAAGCCAGGTTGGAGGGATACTCCTGCTGCGTTTTAGTGTCCAGTGTAAGTCATCTCCTGCTTTCATTTACCAAGTACCGAGCTGCTGCTTTGTCGAGTGGATTTCTGGATTAATTTGTTTTTAAACTGGTGTAATTCGACAGCCAAGGGCTGAAAGCTTATTGTGATGGCTGTGTCTGTCGATTTTGTTCAGTTTATTTGTTTTATTCTTTCTGTATAGGCACCACAGATATTGATTGCCTTTTAGAGTGGTTTACCTTTTTAAAAAAATCTTAATAAATATATCGCGTTGCAGATAGTGAGGGCACTGCATGGAAAGCCAAGCCGCTTTTTGCATGCCTGAGTGAGTGAAGACGGCACTGAAGATTCACCTTTTTGTGCTTAGAAACATATAATCATTTATGCTTAGAAATATATAATCATTTGTATTCTGATAAAAATCATGTCCTTATTAGGTCTGATAAGATTCTGTGTGCACTTGTGTACCATGAGATGAGAGGAAGCAGACTTCCTCTCATCTCAACCAGACTTTTCTGTTTTCTTTAAAGAGTTCACAGCTTGAAATGTGCATTTGAAATATGACATATTGCAAGTTCCTGTTTTTATAGTTTAGCAAGATGCTTACTTCTACTTTTCTGCATACCTCACACAGAGTTTAAAGATCGTATG